GGGTCGGAAGTGAATTACGAGTCAGACCAATTTGCGAATCGAGCAAGCTCCCCTTTCCTGCAATTATGTGGTGATAAACCTCTCATTCTAATACAGTGCTAACAAATGAGCGGATAGGCTTGATGAAGTTTAGGAAAAATGCAATAATATAATAATAAAGTTTTGCCCGGTCGTTCGTAAGCCCCTTTAGAGTTCCCCCTTATTGATCCCAGGGCTACGGAGTCTATCCGCTCATATACGGAACGGCGCGAAATAATACCCGGGGCGGAGGAGGTGCCGTAACCATAGTACCCTGCTGCTGCTCTTTTAGTTTGGAGGATCATTCGTTAACCATTTCTTAGATTTACGGACCCAACCGAATGAAGAAGTCGGAAGCAGTTCATCACCTTATAGCCATTTCTGTACATTCAATGTACTTTACGGATAGAGGAATACAATTTCTTGGTACGGAGAGATCTCTGCCATAAAAGAGAGAGCTCCTAAGCCTTATTCTGCAGATCAAAGAGCGGCGTAATTCCCCATTCATCCGAAATAGTATTTTAGTAAAGAAGAGAGGCATTCTGGGCCGACTACTACGACTACATGCCCATCTAGTGCAGTGGCTTGGAACTCTGCGATGATGGCTGCCAGAAGCATCGTGGGGCTTGTCAAGGTACCTCTGATGAATTCCGAAACATCGGTCTTAATTTATGTGATATTTTTCTCTTTTCGAGATTCAAATTTCTTAATATTCACTGCGTTTAAACATAGAATTTTTAAGTTAAAAATATTATAAGCCACAATAATTAACAATTCAAAATTTTTAAAGGCATATGAAAAATTACGGCCAAAGAACAATTCGTTTGGCTCTCGAAATCCGAACACCTTCACATAAATTAGGACGGAGGGAGTACTTTTTACTGGTGGAAACTAAAACCAAATTAATGTACAGGATTAGTGCATAGGAAGTGAAAGCTCAAAATTAGAGCAAAGTTGAATTATATAGAGTATGCTCAAAATTCAATTACTCCAATGACTTGCTTTAGACATGTCAGTTATCCAAAATAGAAGACTTTCTATAGGCTTGCTTTCAATTATCAAAGTCCAATATATGTCTTGAAAAATACATTTCTTAAAAATGTTAATCTATTGACTTTGTAATTGTAAGTTTCCTGGTTGGCCATATAAGAAACGGAAGAAACTTCTTAATATATCCATTTAATATAATCAATCATGAAAATAATTTTTTTAAAAGGATTATCTAAGAAAAAAAATGATTGGAAAGATCAGCAGGCCACTAAACAACATTAAGATTCGAGATTTTATGAGGTTAGTTGAAAGAATTAGATAAGAACATTTGTACTAATCATTAGCTTGCTAGACAGCTGGCATTTCTAGTTACTCTAATAGATTTTCATGATAAAAAATAAAAGGACAAATAAAAGAAGATAAGAAGCTAGTTTTGTACAATCTCGCACAGATACTAAAATATTTAATAATATGTGGATTTCAAACATTGCCTCAAATATTCTTGATAGAATTTGTTAAGATTTAAATAGATATTTCAGAGAAAATTATTATTTTCTATTAGAAGTACAACAGCCACACGAGTTAATTAATAAAATTATTACCAGCAAGGGTTGTGGTTGGAGTGGTAAGCACTCTTTCATCCTTAATCAATAGTTTCGGGTTCGAGTCCCTGGGTATAGAATCGCCTTTGTTAGGGAAAGCTTTACCCCCCTAATGTGGGACTTTTCGGCACGAATCCGAATTTAGTCTGGTCCCAATGTGAGTATCGGACCCCGGGTGGGAAACCAAAAAAAAAAAATTTAATAAAATCATACCCGTCAGACAGCATTGATGCAATAACCTGGCAATTACATTAGATTGAAAAAAAGAAAAGTATTTCCTAAAAGAAAGCTTAAAGGACGAAAGGAATCTGTTAGTCTATCTAATGAAAGGAAATTTAACAAAAACATAGAATAAAAATAAAATAATATAATAAATGGACGTGGCTGGTGCTCTTGATAAAAAAAAAAAAAAAAAAGAATTTGTTTATAAATAATACAAACTAGCTATCAGTGTGTTTTAACCGATTATACAAGGTTATTTATCTCACTATCAAATATTATAACGGGACGGTAAGTATTCCTCCATCCTTAACCACAGATCTGTGTTTGACTCTTGGACATGAAGTCGTCTTTGATTGGCAGCGCTTTACCCCCTAAAGTGGGACTTTTTGACGTGAAGACATCTGGTCGAAATTAAAAAAAAAGTTATATAATGCGTATTTAGGTTATTAAAATAGAATAACTATAGGCAATTAGTTGTGGTAGGTCACTTTTACCCGGAGATGTAAAACGTTATATATTTGATTCTCCAAATCAGCTCCTGGCCTTACCCAGTAGAACCGGCCTGTAGTATTCAGCATGGGCGGAGAGAGCATCTGAAGGGTTACTTCACCTTTGTTAATCACACACCGACCCAGCCAGGGTACAAAAATAATTGATGAATAGTGACCATACCAAATGAGTAAACTACACATATTTAAGGAAATTGCACTTCAAATTTAAAACTTTATTTATTTAAAGGAAAATGCTCTCCATTACATGGAATCCTCCAAAAAATTATTTAGTGGTGCCCCTCCCATGCAACTTCCAGGAAACTATAGCGACCAACTTCCTTTTCTCTGTTCTGTACCTTCCTTTGTTTGCATTTTCTTGGACTCTTTCCACCAAAATTTCCTTTACAGCCTTCACCTATTTATATCCCTTTGAATTTGTATATCTATATCTATCTATATCCATATCCTAAAATTTACATCCAATACTAACTTGCTTCTATATTTTATTCTAAGAGCTAGTCCAATATCAATGGCTACATTGGGACGAGACGTCGTATTCGAGGATTTTTTCCCTTCAATGGTGGAAAAACTTGGAGCTGAGAGATTCTTGAAAGAGCTAAGCAATGGATTTCGAATGCTAATCGATGAGGAGAGGGAAGTCATTACATTTGAGAGTTTGAAAAAGAATGCAGAATTGTTGGGATTGAAGAATATGAGAGATGATGAGGTTATGTGCATGTTGAGAGAAGGGGATTTAGATGGAGATGGTTGTTTGAACGAGATGGAGTTTTGTGTACTCATGTTTCGTTTGAGTCCTGATTTAATGGACATATCAAGAATTTGGTTGGAAGAAACTCTTGCCAAATTGTAGCTGGATTTAATAATTTAATCTCTTTTGATTCTTGTTATATTTTTATAAATCTCTTTAGCTTATCCATAGCTATTGGTTCTTCTGTTCTTGCTATTTTTTTTAGAAGGACTCTTAGTGCAACGATAAAAGTTTCTGCCGACAAATCCAACCCGCGAAACAGTCTTTTGTAAAAATGAAAGATAATATTGCCTACATAAGATTCAATGTGATCTGTCCTTTTTCCGGATTTCGCACATAAAAGGAGATTAATACATCGGGCTGCCTTTTTTTAATTGCTATTTTTAATATGATATCTCTAAGAGTGTCACGACTCGAAATACACTAGGCGTGATGACACCTAACTCAACCCGCTAGGTAAGCCAATTAACAATCCATTTCCAATTAACTTAATAAAATAATTAATTAAAGGAATTATCTGAATCTTATACATTCCCCACGGACTGATAATACAAATAATGAGCTTCTAAGAATAGAATTTTCAAAGCTGATATGAAGAAAATACATCTTCTATTTTAAAAGTACATAAACAGAGTTTTACAAAACTAAGGCTACCATGAACAGCAGGCAGCTACAACAGGGACGCAGGTACGCGTTCAAATCCAGCAACCATCGAACACAGCAACATCGACATCCGAAATCTGCACGTAATGTGCAGGAAGTGTAGTATGAGTACAACCGACCTCATTTACTGAATAAGTAACAAACATAAACTTAGGTTGAAAGCAGTGACGAGCTGGAACATAGATCGGGTCCAACACCAATAACCAGTAGCAGTTCATAATAGCGTAGAGCATATATAAATAAGGAAGTAACTCAGCGATAAAATGCTCAGCTTTTCACAGATTTTCGAAAATAGTTCCACTTTTCAAGAATATCAGTGAAAACTCAAATCCTTTACCGAAACCGTCGTAAAGTATGAGATAATTTGGAAACTGTAATTTTTCAAAAAAAAAAAAAAATCCTTTTCGCAATAAATAAGATATTTTATTTTCAGATAGCATGATAGCAAGTGTGAAATACCTCTCTATGACCACATATTAATGTGTGTAAAAAGTCATGAATGACGTGATATCGTACAACATGAGGAAAAATGCATCTCTATGCATGTATCTCATGTGTGCATGCCAATGCCATGTATCTCAGAGATGAATCATGTACTGAGACTCTCAGAGTACTCAACCTCACTGTCTCACGCTTTTCACTCATTATGCTCAACCACTCGGTACTGTATATGGCCCATACGGCCCAGGGAAGATCCATCCCGGAATATATATATCACTGACCATTAGTCACTCAGTACCCAGGAAGGCCAATCCGGCCCCATGGAGAAGATCCATCTCCAGGTATATAAATGCTTCAGACAAGATCCATGTCCAGGGAAGATCCATCCCTCAAGATAATCAACCGCGCTCATTGGGGGTATGGAGACTCCGGAGGGGCTCCTTCAGCCCAGGCACTATAATCTGCACGGACATCTCACGTGCTATAGTATCAATATCAGAATCCGCACGGACAACTCACGTGCTGCACGGACAACTCACGTGCTGTACGGACAACTCACGTGCTATAGTATCAATTACCTCACAATTAGGCCAGTGGCCTCACTCAGTCATCAATCTCTCCAGTCTCATCCACAGGCTCACAATGTCATGAAAACTAACCCGGAACAAAGATATGATGTATCAATATTTAAAAACTAAGACTGAGATATGATATGAATGTATGAATGTGACTGAGTACGAAATATCAATAAAATCAATGAGATGACAGCAAGAAACGACCACTATGGGTCCCAACAATATCAGCTTAAAGCCTAAACATGATATCTAGCATGATGTACAGCTCGTTTACTTTATAACATGGTAAAAACACAGATATCAACAAAATAGGGCCACTATTCAGTGCCCTGGAAACAACAGAGTCACAGTTCACAGGGTGCACGCCCACACGCCCGTCACCTTGTATGTGCGTCACCTCAACACCAATCACATAGCACATAATTCGGGATTTCATACCCTCATCACTAAGTTTAGAAGAGTTACTTATCTCAAACAAGCCAATTCCAACACCGAGCAAGCCAAGCGATGCTCCAAGAATGCCATCACGCGCGTAGAGACCTCCGAACGGCTCAAAACTAGCCAAAAATAACTCAAATACATCAGATAAAGCCCAAGGAAACAATTGCAAATGATAAAGATCGAATCCTAAGTCAAATCCCAAATCCGGCCAAAAATCACACCCGGGCCCGCACCCTTGGAATCCAAAAAAACTCATAAAATCGGATAAGCCATTAAATTATGAGTCCAACCATACTAGTTTCACTCAATTCCGACTCCAAATCGTTGATCAAAACTCAAAAATTCATATTATGAAACTTTAGGCCAAACCCCCAAATTTCTCTTTTAATTCATCAACCAATTGCTAAAAATGAAGATAGATTCATGAAATATAATCAAAACTGAGTAAAGAATACTTACCCCAATCCTTGTGATAAAATTTGCTCCAAAAATTGCCTCAATCCGAGTCCCACATCTTAAAATATGAAGAAAGAACCAAAACCTCCATTTATAGCTTCTGCCCAGCAATTTCTGCATTTGCAGACAATAGGTCGCATCTGCGACTCTCGCTTTTGCTGAAAAGGACTCGCATTTGCGAGATGGACGCTTCTGCGATGGCCATGACCGCACCTGCGATCGCGCTTCTGCGTAATTACCTCCACATTTGTGGACTTCCACTCCTCAATGAAATCTCGCATATGCGCTGCTTGGCTCGCATCTGCGGCCATCGCACCTACGCGATATCAATTGCAGGTGCGAAATGCCAGAACCAATAGCTCATCAGCAATGAAAACATGAAGGAAAATGATCCGAAACACGCCCGAGCCTCGGGGCCCCGTCCAAATATACCAACAAGTTCCAAAACATAATACGAACCTACTCGAGGCCTCAAAACACACATAGCAACATCGAACGACGAATCACACCTCAATTCGAATTCGATGAACTTGAAACTTGAAACTTCAACAACCGACGCCGAAACCTATCAAATCACGTCTGATTGACATCAAATTTTGCACACAAGTCACATTTGACATTACGGACCCGCTCCAATTTTCGACCGACCCCGATATCAAAGAGCTCAAAATAATGACCGGTCGGGTCGTTACAAAGAGCTCAGCTCAAAATAAGTTGTTGCTAGTAGTATTAAATTTAACTCAAAATGGCTATCAGCCACCGAATGGGAAACAAAAAAAGGGAATTTAAGTTTATTGGCCAAATATTTCTCCAAAATTTGCGGTGCTTGTGTTGAAAAGCTATTAACAGTGGTTAAATAAAAACAGTTATCCACCCATATTATCCATTAAAAAATAGATTGGATAATGAACTTTTTAGAAACGTGTCAAATATGGATAAGAACCATATTATCCACTTAGAAAATGGATAACCAATGAGTTTAACTTTTACATTTGTAAAGCCTTAAATTTGGGAGACTAGGAATTCTCCCAAAAATGATCATATTCAAGAAGCCATGGATAATATGGATATCTATATTATCCGTAGATTAAACTTTTTTATTCGTATTAAATATGCATCGAGTCAGATCATTTATCCGTTTTCGCATTATCCATTTTCATCCCGTCCATATCCGCCCTGCCCCGTTTGTCACCCCTAGATAGCACGTTCAGTTAGCCTCCGTTAAATGAAAACATGTAAGATTGTAAAAAGAAGAAGACAATTTTAGGAATTTCCTCTGTTGTATTCCATTGTGAAATCATCAATCTATGTATACAAATTATTCTATCTAGAAAGAATAAAGAGCTATACACTTGTCTAAATTCTATAAGTTATGGGAAAAACTAACTAACCACTATTATTCTTTACAATGCCTAGTCACACGTCTCACCCATGTGAGAACAATATGGTAATTTAATGAATTCACTCTAATCTGGACGGTTAGGATTTAATCCATCATATACCATATCAATTGCTGAGGGAGCTTCACGTGTAAGGTCTAAGTGTGCAAATAAATCCTTACCACTTCTAGATATCTCCGAAGACCCATGTTCTGTCTGAAACCCTATGTCCTCTTCTTCTTCGATTGACTCTCCGTTTCTCTTATTTCTCCAATCAATTGAGTGAAAATTAGAGGGTTTCTTTTCAACATCCCCCCTTAAGTTGGAGGGTAAAGAAGTTACCCCCAACTTGTATAGAATGGAATTGTGGGAAGGTATTTGGTGAACAAATCGGTTAGCTTAGAAGAGGAAGGAACGAAAGAAAGGGTAATGAGATCGGAGAGGAACTGTTGCCGGTCAAAGTGGCAGTCAAGTTTGATATGTTTGGTTCGTTCATGAAAAATGGGGCTCCAGGAAATATTGATGGCTGCTTTACTATCGGAGAGAATGGGGACTGATAAGAAGGGAGAGATGGAGAGATCTTCAAGTAAACGGGTGAGCCAAGTTAATTCTACGACAACTCGACGCATTGAACGGTACTCTGCTTCGGCAGAGGAGAGACTGATGGAGTCTTGCTTTTTAGACTTCTAAGAGATGAGAGAGCCACCAAAGGATATATAAAATCCGCTCACAGAACACCGTGTTTTAGGGTAAGAGCCCCAGTCAGCATCACAAAAGGCAACTACATTGGGAGAGGGTTGAGAGTGCAAGACAAATTCCCCGCCTTGGATCTAGTATGAGGTAATGCAATACTCGGAGAGCTGCATTGAAGTGATAAAGACGAGGGCTTTGCATGTATTGACTGAGCTTGAGGACTGCAAATGACAAATCAGGCCGTGTATGTGTGAGATAATTCAACTTATCCACAAGATGTCGATATACAGTAGGATTTGGAAGAAGAGGGACTGTATCTAAATGAAGTTTGAAGATGGTTCTAATGGGGAAAACACACGAGGAGTTGCTGCAACATCAAATTCCTTCAGCAAATCTAAGGTGAATTTCGTTTGACACACAATTATGCCTTCTTTCTCTCGTAATATCTCCATGCCTAGAAAATAATGTAGATTTCCTAGGTCTTTCACTTTGA